TATGCTTCACAGTGTTTTACAGCTCTCTCTAAGCAGTTTACAGAGTCAGCCTCTTGCCCCCAACAATCTGGGTCCTCATTTTACCCACCTCAAAAGGATGGAAGGCTGAGTCAACCTTGAGCTGCTCAGAATCGAACTCCTGGAGTGAGCAGTGAGTTAGCCTGCAGTACTGCATTCTAACCACTGCATCACCATGGCTCTTTGACTAGATCACGGGTGTCAAACTTGCGGTGTCACTTTGCCATCACGTGACGGTTTTTCCCTTCGCGGAGCTGGGGTGGGCGTGGCTTGCGCGTGACACAATCAGCCCGCAGGCCGCCAGTTTGACACCCCTGGACTAGATCCTAGTCAATCTAAGTCTGCAATGGAATACTGGATCCTAGGATTTAAGCACATTAATCTATAAACCCATTTTCATTCCTTGGTAAAATGACAAGGGTGTGTTTCATAGAACTATTAAAATGACAAATTAAGATTAGGAAGCCCCCTGCATATGAAATGGTTCATATTTAAAATATACATCAGCCTTGGAAAATGATATATTTTAAAAATGGAGGAAAGGCACAATTCCTGTTAGAATAAATACAAGTGGATAACAGAATTTACTTTGATACATGAACGCTATAAGATACTTACTCATTCCTTCAGTCCCTGACCATAGTAATAGACCAAATATTTGTGTACAGGATAATCAGTGAAAAGTGAAGAAGACAGGTGTGGGCATAGGGATAGGAAAAATGAGCATTAGCTTCACTTAATATAAAACACTGAATAGTTTCTAGCTATAATGCAGAAGAGAGAAAAGTGGCTGGTAAAATTTTTTCACAATTTTTTTTAAAATTTGATTTATATGCCGCCCTTCTCCGGAGACTCAGGGCGGCTTACAATGCGTTAAGCAATAGCCTTCATACTTTTGTATATTTATACAAAGTCATTTATACAATTGCATTAGAAAAGCTATGCTGGTTTGGCATCTCATTTTCAGTACAGGGATAATAATACATATTTCAGGATGGTTTTAAATAATGCCAGTTAATGAATATGATGCACGTTTGAACCTAAAAATAACGAAAGAGGAATTATTAAAATATGCTTAATTTATTTTAACAATCTGCTAATCTTTCTGGTAGCCGCCAGTTCTCCAGAAGGGTTCTAATTCTCTTTTTATATTGCAAAATATAATTCAATCTTCAAAGTACCATGATGCACGACAGTAAATCAAGCTGATCTAAGTACTATATTAAAGTTAGTACAGTTTTTAATTAACATGCCTAAATTATTTTTTTAAAAAAATATATTTCGCAAATATGTAATTGGTTTTTTCAAATTGAGGTTGCTTTACTTCTGAAAGAGAAAATCTGTCAGAATTTGTCTGTGATCTCAGGTAACATTGACGAGTTTTGCACTTCAGCTTTTCTAAGCTTAGCTCCGAATGAACTAAGGTTGAAGGTAATTTATTCACAGCCAAATGGGAATGCAAATGAGTGCAGAAAGGCCTCTGTGATTTGCAGTGGAAAGCTACAATGACTGATTTGTCTGATCAAAAAACGTAAGTTGTTCCAGATTCTATACCCATACTGCATTTATGAGTGACCTTAAAAAGAAAATTCCTGTTCTCATTTGCAGGAATAAACTGGGATACTAACACTTATGCAAAACCTTCAACTGGACACCTTGCCTGTTTATTTGCTCTGACAGGTTTAATTTTTAAGCTGTCTGAACCAGTAAGGCCTTGTAATGTAAACTCTAGCATTTGAAACTGATAGCCTTCGGTAGTTTAAAAAAACTCATTAAAGCAACACTGACTAGGATTCAGACCCATCAACAATCTCATACAAGGGACATCCAGAAATATTAGTAACATTGTTTGCTCACCAACTACTGTCATCCTCACATACTCTCATGTAATATTTTAAATTTTCCCCCCTATATTTTATTCTCTGCTGCAACAGATAATTTGGTTTAGCATTCAAAAATCAAAACCAGCCACTACTCATTATAAATATGATTGATGTACTTTCGGTTGCAGGAAAAGGTCAAAGAGACCCAAATCTTTCCTGGGTTGCTTAGTCAATATTTACACCTTTCAAAGAAAAATTGGAAGTGGGCCTCTATTCCTATGCCTTTTAAAAATTGAAAAACTAGGAAGGAATTTTGGCTTGTTCCTCTTTTGATCCCATTATTTATAAATCTGGGTCAATTATTTGAAGAAAGATGGCGAAAACCCAAGACCAGTTGTTAGACATAATTTGAGGACCTTGGTGTGTTTGAATATATACTGAATATCTTAAGCTATTCTTAAATTAGCAGAGCTTCATCTATGTATGAATAAAATCCTCATGTCTGTTTGGTATTGGGTGAAATGCTGCATCGTGGGGCAAAACTTTTTTCAATGAAGTTACTTCAAATGTGTTAATTTATAGAATGCTGGGACCCAAGAGAATGAAATTTTGGGATTGTTTTGCTGCTTCAGCACTACCGTGCTGTTCAGTGCCAGTGCTGTGTTGTTGCATAAGTCTCATTTTCAATGTTCCCTGACAGTTTCCCACAAATCAAGGGGGAATCCAGGAGGAAATGATTGTCAACGCTCCTATGCTCCTTTCCCACCTTCACCTTAACAAAGTCTTTGCTTGTGGGATGCTTACAAGGAGAAAGTCAATGGAGAAAAGGTCCGGTCCCTCTCAACATTGGCCATTCACACAGTCCCTTGCTCCCTCCGGGAGGGAGGGAGGGAGGAAGGAAAGAAAGAAAGATTGGGAGGAATGATAGGGAGGGAGGGAGGAAAAATTGGGAGGGAAGGAAGAAAAGATTGGAAGGAAGGAAGGATAGGGAGGGAAGGAGGAAGGAAGGAAAAATTGGGAGGGAAGGAAGGAAAGATAGGAAGGAAGGAAGGATAGGGAGGGAGGGAGGGAGGAAGGAAGGAAGGAAGGATAGGGAAGGAGGGAGGGAGGGAGGGAGGGAGGGAGGAAGGAAGGAAGGAAAGAAAAATTGGGAGGGAGGAAAGATTGGGAGGGAGGGAGGAAGGAAAAGAAAATGGAAGGGAGGAAAGATTGGGAATTTGGGAGGGAGGGAGGAAAGAAGGAAAAATTGGGAGGGAAGGAAGGAAAGATTGGAAGGAAGGAAGGAGAGGGAGGGAGGGAGGAAAGATTGGGAGGAAGGATAGGTAGGGAGGAAGGAAGGAAGGAAGGAAGGAAGGAAAGAAAGAAAAATTGGGAGGGAGGGGGGAAAGATTGGGAGGGAGGGAGGGAGGGAGGGAGGGAGGAAAAGAAAATGGAAGGTGGGTAGGTACGTAGATACTGGGTGGAGAATTCTGTGAGTTGAAGTCCACCCAATGTAATGTTTCCAATATTGAGAAACAGAGGTTTAAGACCCCTCAGATGTATTGAAAGCTGCAGTTTAATTCATCTCTCTCCCGTTTAGTTATACAAAAGCCACCGATCAGGGTCACATTGCAGAATATTTAGGGAGCATCAATAAAGCCTTGACAACAGCAGCAGCAGTGGCGGTGGCGGCAATTTTGGTGTGAAAATAGGCACTCCCTGAACAATTGAAGAAGGGGACTCATGAAAGTCCCATCGCCATGTTCCCGGGCTTTGGGACACCCCAGTTTTCTGGGCAGCTGCCCATCTCAAACAGGGGTCCTACCACTCCTAAGAAAGAAGAATTTTAAGAGGTGAAAAAGCATCTGGCCAACATTCAGGGTTGTATTTAAAACTCTCGACCCGCCTGTCTCAGCAGAAAAACGAAAAACTGGGGTGCTTCTCAGGGACATTCTTGGATTAATTTACTTTTCAACCTTGTGTAACTCCCCCTATTTAGCACCCATTTCATTCAGAAACTATAACAGCTTCAGCACCTGGTGTGGGGACAGCTACGGCAGATGCTTTTTTTTTTTACCTTAAACTAGGTTTAAGGTTAAACCTAGTTTAAGGTTTTGTGTCTTACCAAGGGTAACAAGTTAACAGTAACAAGAGTTGGAAATGGACCTTGGAGGTCATCTAGTCCAATCCTCCTACTCACACAGGAGACCTGTGCTAGGGATTCGAACCGCCGACCTTTCTGATCGACAAGCTCGGTGTCTTAGCCACGGAGCCACCATGTCTTTGCCAACAAATCGGGGTTTAAACAAGCCAGGAGGCGCCCAAAGGTGCTCTTTTTTTTCTCCCCCCAAGAGGCAACTTGGACTTTCTGGGTTTTTTTTTTCTTTTGAAGACATTTCGCTTCTCATCCAAGAAGCTTCTTCCGTTCTGACTTGAGGTGCTTGGCTGACTGATCCATTCCCCACCATTCAGTCAGAAGTGAGGAAGCTTCTCATATGAGAAGCGAAACGTCTTCAAAGAAAAACCAGAAAGTCTTGGGGGGGGGGGAGAAAAAAGCACCTTTGGGACCACCATGAAGGTTAAATGAGGACCATTGGCCAGCAATCAAGAAACCCCTTGGTTGATGTGGGTTTTTTTCATACATGACTTTCTATTTTCTAAATGGCAATTCCATATGCAAATTCTTAACTGTTCAAAAATTATAGAAAGGGGGGGGAAAAAATCAAGGTGACAATGAACAATTTGAAATCAAAGATTATCCTGCCTATGATTGTTGGGTTTTTTTTTTTTTTTTAAACTGTGTAAAATAAAATATGCCCTTCCATGATAGAGCTTTCCCCCTTTATATGACTGGGAATCGCCTCAGAAAGCGCAATGGAAACGACCGTTATTTCCCCCCCCCACCTTAAAGGGCGTCGCGCGGAGCGAGGTGGGGGGGAGACTTTCAAACGGAAAGAGGCGGGAAAAACCGTTGGGCCGCGCGGCGGCCGTTAGGGACAGAGAGAGAGAGAGAGAGAGAGAGAGAGAGAGAGAGAGAGAGAGAGAGAGAGGCCGCGGGGCGCATGCGCGTCTCCCGCGGCGCGCATGCGCGTCTCCCGCGGCCCTTCCCGGCGCCGCCGCGTCTCCCGGGCAACGGCGCGTGGCTCCGGCCTCTCACGTGAGGGAAGTCACGTGATGTTTGGTTTTCATTTCTCCGGCTCCCTCCTCCCCTCCGGTCGCGCGCGCTGCCTCGCTCCTTCCTTCCCATCCCGGGCGAGCGAGCGAGCTGTTTCCGGGTCAATGCAGGACGCGGCCGCCGGACGGGGAGCCTAAAAAGCGGTGGGGCCCGGTGAGGAGAGGAGGGGACGGGGCTGGAGGTCGGGAAGGCGAAAGAAAGGAAAAAGGCCCGCCGCCATCACCCGCCGCCCGGCCTGGAGGGGAAGGGAAGGGTTAACGAAGCGGGGGGAGGCGAGAGAGAGAGAGAGACTACGCTCCAGTGGAGCCTCCTTGTCTAACAGTAGTCTACCTTGAGCTCCTAAAGCGCTGGAGGAAGAGGAGGCCCGACCCCCCCTCCTTAATTGGGGAAGGGGCCCTGGTTGGAAACAGTGTGCTGAGGGGGGGGGGATGAGAGAGGCTGCTGTCCACTGGAGCCTCCTTATCCAACAGTAGTCTACCTTGAGCTCCTAAAGCGCTGGAGGAAGGGGAGGCCCGACCCCCCCCTCCTTAATTGGGGAAGGGGCCCTGGTTGGAAATAGTGGGCTGGGGGGGGAGATGAGAGAGGCTGCGGTCCAGTGGAACCTCCTTGTCTAACAGTAGTCTACCTTGAGCTCCTAAAACACTGGGGGGGGTGATCCCTGGAGGAAGGGGAGGACTGAACACCCCACTCTTGGGGAAGGGGCCCTGGTTGGAAACTGGGCTGAGGGTGGGGGGAGTTGAGAGAAGCTGCTGTCTACTGGAGCCTCCTTGTCCAGCAGCAGTCGACCTTGAGCTCCTAAAACACTGGGGGGTGTGACTCCTGGAAGGGGAGGCCGGACTCCCCCTCCCCCTCTTGGGGAAAGTGCCCTGGTTGGAAACTGGGTTGGGGGGATGCGGGGTGGGGGGGAGACGAGAAAGGCTACGGTCCAGTGGAGCCTCCTTGTCCAGCAGCAGTCTACCTTGAGCTCCTAAAACACCTGGGGGGGGGGTAAACCCTGGAAGGGGAGGCCAGACTTCCCCTCCCCCTCTTGGGGAAGGGGCCTTGGTTGGAAACAGTGGGCTGAGGAGGGGAGATGAGAGAGGCTCTTGCCCACTGGAGCCTCCTTGTCCAGCAGCAGTCTACCTTGAGCTCCTAAAACACTGGGGGGGGGGTAAACCCTGGAAGGGGAGGCCAGACTCCCCCTCCCCCTCTTGGGGAAGGGGCCCTGGTTGGAAATAGTGGGCTGAGAGAAGGAGAGGCAGATTGCACCCACCCCCCATGTATCCCTATGCGAGGGGCAATCAGGATGCTTTGCTAGGCAGCCTTTCTCCAAAGTCCTGGGGACAAGATTATGGGGAAGGGGGGGAAGGAACAGAAAAGATGCTGGTGGCTTTCTGGGAAGAAGAAGAAGAAAAAAGTAATGGATTCTTGAGGGGGGGAAGCAGGAAGCCTGCAAAGGAGATCGGCCAGCAGGTGCAGACTGGCTCTCCATCCCCAGATGTACTTTTGAAGCACAAGAGGTAGAATTGAGTCCAGGCAGGCTTCTGTCTCCTTGGAGGCAGTTGATGGGTAGCTGGTAAGAAGAGAAGGTCAGCATCAGCATCATTAGCAGTAGGAGAAAAACAGGCCTGGAACGGGAAAAAATCATTAAAAAATCATTGGTCAAAGAGGTGAGAAACAACAGTGGCCTCAAAATGCCTGCTTCATTTACATTTCCACACATACCACAGCTTCCAATAGTTGATTATTGGAGGAAAACAAAAAAAAACCTCCAATAGATATTTTTAAAAAAAAAAAAAAAAAACCCAACAGTCTGATTTATAACTTTATTTATTATTGGTTCAATTTATATGTCGCCCTTCTCCAGAGACTCAGGGTGGCTTACAATGCGTTAAGCAATAGCCTTCATACTTTTGTATATACCTGCTTAGTAGGGCTTTTGCCCCCCCCCCAGCAGTGTTCTTTTTTATACAAAGTCAGCTTATTGCCCCCACAATCTGGGTCCTCATTTAGGTACCCAGCCATTGAATTTCATTTTTGATTTGTTAACCTCTGAAGGCCTTTATGAGTCGAGGAGCTTAGTAAATGGAGCTTAGTAAATGAATGCTTTTCCATAGGCCTTTCAGATAGAATAGTAACATTGATACATTGGTGCAGATAATAGTAACATTGATACATTGGTACAGATAAAATGTTTTCTTTGGGGACAGACTGTTACATGGTGACGGTGGCAAGATCAGGGGCTGTTGCCTCTGGCCCCAAGATCATCTAGGTTTTTCAAAAACACCATAATACACAATTTAGCTTATACAAAGTATCATGCAGTATCCCTTCCTTGACATTAATCCTTTAATGCACATGCTTCTGTGTTTCATAATAATGAACCACATGGCTCTGGTTTCCTTTCCATCCCCAGCCATTCAAATGGTTAATGTCCTTGAATAAATATTAAGGGCATAACTATGATAGCATGTACTTGAATAATTTGGTGAGTTATTAGCATGTTGCCTTCAGCAATGTGAGAGGAGTTGCAGAAGTCCTGGGGGGCGGGGGAGCACGAGTCCTGTTGTGTCATCCAAGGACCATCTGGTCGATCTATTTCCGTGTGTTCCGCATCTGGCTTTCAGAAGTATACAACCTCTGCTCTCGGGAAAGGCACTACCTTAATGGTACCAGGCTTTTAAGCATTTAAAAGGGTCAACTATAATTTTTCCATGTTGCCATTTATAAAAATTGCGCTTATTGATCAGCTCTTTGCATTGCATGAAGAATGTCTTATGTTGAATCCTTCCATATTCTATTTAGAAAAAAGTAGAGATGATGGGAGAATTTTTCAGTGGAAACTGGTATATTCACTGCCAGTTAGAGTAGGTAATTCATACAATCTGGTGGATCAGATTGTCCAAAAGGATCTAGAAAAAAAACTGAATCCTCAGGAAGATCATATATACAGATTAGACTAAATTTAAGAGATAATTTTGTAAAAGACAATGACATCTGTACTTCATGACAGTTATAGGAGTCTTCAGAGTGGCCATTGATTAAAGAAAGGTTTGAAATAGTCCCTAAAGTTTGTATTTTATCAGGAATTGGACAAATAAGTACTATTTCCTGTATAGGTTCTTGTAAATAGGATCATGATATTTGATTTGCCTTTACATCTCAGATTGTCATAGCCAAAAAATGAGCTTATTTATTTCATAGTATAGAGCAGGTTAATTCAGGAAATAAACCATCTCAAGCAATTCATAGTAGCTCCATGTTAGGGTTTGAACTTGCTGTTAAGGTTTTCCTATATATGCAGTTTCATCATTTGTAGCTTTAAATGACACTTGCAGAGGGGTAGTTATACTTGTCCACTGACGATTAGTTGTATTAATTTATTGGCAAATAAATTATATTTGGTGAGATTATATTACCTGTTTCTTATAAAATAAGAATAATAAATAATAAATAAAATAAAATAAAAGTTTTTATTTATTCCCAAACTAAAGGCAAGTGGCAGCATCTTATTGAATAGCAATAACATTCTTCCTGTTTTCTGGCTTACAAATTGAGGCCGAGATTGAAGGCTTAACTCTGGTCAAGGCTTGACAGGGAAACCATTTCAAACCCATTTTAAGATCTTCCTTAGTTTCATAATGGAAGAAAGGCAGTTTGAAAGATAAAACATCACCTGAGAGTAAATGGAGTTCTATTATAAGATTGTTATTTTACAGAAGCACAAATATGTAGCTAATGTACCTAGATCCCTACCCTCATTATCATAGCTTTCCTTATTCAAGTATTAATCTTGTTAGAGACAAAGTATTTTCTAAATGCTGCTGACTGTCTATATCTTGTCTAATATGTTTGAAAATATTTTCACTGGCTTTTAACTATCTTGAAAAGTGCATAACTTTAAAAAAAAGTCCAAAAGAGTTTAGTTTAGTAAAAATGGAAGAATTGTTTTGCTATATTTGTGGCAAGTGTTGTCAAAGGGTCTCATCTTAAACATTTAAGAATTAACTGGTTTTATAGATAGCAGATGCCTCATCTGCATTTAATAACAGACATTTAAAAAAAAATTAAGTTGCATTCTGGGAACCATTTGGTTTTCTTAATTGAAGCTTGATTTTTCCAGAGAAGGAAAGTGGATTATTAACACTCAGAAAACCTTGGTAATGGTATAATACTGATTTTTGGGAAAAGCCAACAAATGTTTCCACTCACGTTTATATTTCTGTTCCCCATCCCCAAGACGAAGCCCTCCCTTGTTTTTTTCTTCGACTTTCCAGAATGGAAAGTTTGGTTTTGACTTTGGTTACAAATGCTCCTTTTCAGAAGGAACAAAGGTTACTCTGTTTCCACATTTTAGAATTATTTTCTGTTGATGTTTTGAAGTATGATTATTTTGATAAATCCAGTGATCTATAGAACAAGCCTTTGCAATGCTCAGAAGCTATTGTTAAAGTTCAGTCTGTGAAATACTTCCATGTTGAGTGATGCTCTATGAACCTTTCAGAGATTTATTTTTGGAATGGACTGAAATTAACTGTTGGACTAAAACCCTTAAATGTCCACCTTTTTTTGAAAAGGTTTGATTTTAAAAGCATTTTGTTTCAAGCTTATATACTGCAAGTCTGCATAGTATACAGCCTGGGGGTTACATATGACCCACCAAGCAGACTTTAAAAAATAAGTACTATAATAAATTTGGAGCTGTCACTGCAGCCCACTTTAGTGCTTCCACTGCCATGGAGCAGCTGATCGGTATTTCTGTGCAGCACGTAAGAATTTTCGATATTACCAATGCAGTTTTTTCCCCTCAATGAGTTGTGCAGCTCTGGAATAGCATAACCACTACCAGCACCTTAATATATACCAGCAGCTTATCTTTCTTCAGAAAGGCATCCAAAATCCAAGTTTTAGATCCCATGGAATTATTTCATAAACCTTAGTGTGTGGTTCTCAACAACCTTGGGGCATTCGAATTGTGGATTCAGTTTTAAAACTGGGAAAGGGTTTGCCCTTTAAGTTTATATTCTAGTTTACGGAAGTCCCAATTAGATTTGCATTCTTTTATGTTGGCTTTCCCAAGCCATCCAACTAATATTTTTTTTAATGTTCTTATTGCATTTTGGATTTTTATTTTAAGGCAGTGGGTTGTATTACTATTTTGCAAACTGGCATGATTTGCCAGAGTTTTAATATTGTAATCTTTTTTTCCTTGTTGGCTAAATAGATGGGAGCATAATGGTACAGTTGTACAGTGAAACCTTCATTCATTAAACCTTGATACAACTAACCTTTCATACAGTGGAGCAAATTTCCATGGACAATTTGTGTAGTGGCATCAGTTAAATGATGTAATTAGTATAATGGTACCCTGTGAAGGATGTAAATCACTAGAACGACTTACTTTCTGTAAATTCTGTGAGTAACAAATCCTCTCCCTGCCAGATTAATCCCTTAAAACAAATTTTCTCCATACTTTACTTTCTTCTTTGCCCCTCTTTTGATCAAATAATTTTCAGTATCCTGTTCAATCAGAAAGGTAGCCATCCATCATTACCACTTAGTTGTACAGTGCTTATACACCACCAAGGTGAACAAGTCCACACATTTTAAAAAAAGATTAAAACTATAGAAATCAATCCCTCCAAGCCCAAACTCTGCAGTAATAATAAACAAAATGAAAATGTTAGCCCATCAATAATGTCAACAAAATCCATGCAAATTATGTACCAAATGCCCAATTAAAGAATATATCCTTAAGTGCCTTGCTAAATACTCAGAACAGAAGATGTAGCTCTGGAGGACAAAATGAGGCCACTGCTGTGATAGATGACCTTGATATCCATATACTTCTGCTGGGAAGCAGGAAGGAACCCTTAGCCTCCAAATGTTTTGTTTTATTTATTTTATTTTATTTATTTGTCAAGCATGTATTAGATAACAGATATAAGTATAAACATGATTATGAATAGGTAGGCAAGTTGGTGCGTTTATGCACGCCCCTTAAAGACCTCTTAGGAATGGGGTGAGGTCAACAGTAGACAGTATAAGGTTAAAGTTTTGGGGTTTGGGGAAGAAACCACAAAGTCAGATAGAGCATTCCAGCATTGACCACTCTGTTGCTGAAGTCGTATTTTCTGCAGTCGAGTTTGGAGTGGTTTACCTTAAGTTTGTATCTATTGTGTGCTCGTGTATTGTTGCCTGGGTAAACTGGGCAGATTCTACTAGGGGGAATCAAGTTGCTACTTGTTGACAGCCTTCCCTGGCATAAATTGTCTAGTTCCTATTCACAAAAGAATGAGATTATAGGAGGAGAGCTGTGTTAGTCTATAAAACTCTGGCAGCACTCGCTCCGAGTCACAGATTTTATTCAGAGGCATAAACTTTCATGAGTTGCAGCTTATGCTTGTAATAAAATTTGTTACTCAGAAAAGGTGCTGTCAGATTCCTGGAAAAAAAATGTGCGAATTAGATAGCATTGTTTCTTAAGTTCACTGATGCTGTTTTAAGTTCCTGCTTTTCTTCCATTCTCTTATCCTTTCCTGTGCAGGGAATTACATGGATGTGTGATCTTTTCCCTCCCGGAAAAATACAATGAAGGGCTAAGAAGATTCCCAGAAACTCATACATGTAACTCCCGAGAGAGCTAATGCTGAAACTAAAACATAACCATCTTGTGTAAGTGGGGAACATCTGAGACATTCTGCACTATTTATTTTTGGGGGATAAAATAATCCACCAATCGGAACGTCTTATATAAGATGCCCTCCTAAGATTTAAAGAATTGGGCACTTTTTCCCTTCAATCTCCCATGTGAATGTCCAGGGTTTAAAAGCTCATGTTTCCATCACTTCATCTGCTTTAATTCCAGGAATGGAGGGAAATAACTTGGTTGGTTGCTGCTACAATTGAGGAACAGTTGGGTGATCTACTGTACATCATTCACACATTTACCTTCTGCCCATCTCTGGTGTTGATTAATTCTTTGGTATCTTAATTTGTGTGTTATTTCTATTCCCATTTCCAAAATATTGACATATGCAACAAATTGGAACAGATATACCTTACAGATTGAATGTTTTATGCCCAGCATCTGTTCACACTAGAAAAATGAAGAAAGTGGTATGTTTGTACAAGTTTATAAGACCTACGAATACTACCTTTATGTCAAGTTATTTTATTGGTCTAGAATAGTATATTCTGTGCTGAGTTTTGCATATGTTTCACACCAGAGATTTTGTGACTGAATTCAGAAATTTACAAAAGGTTTTACCTTCCGTTCCTCTTTTTTCCACAAGCATATATTTTGATAGTGGTTTGAATGGTTAAAGGAGCTAAATTGCACACGCTTCATTTTGCCCATTGGGATCCCACTTACCTGTTCCTGACTTTTCTGAGTGGCCACAATAGGATGCTTCAAAGCCTCATATAAGTCCCTCAGATGTCTTCTTTCAAGCTTGAATATCTAGGCCAGGGGTGTCCAACCTTGGCAACTTTAAGACTTGTGAACTTCAACTCCCATAATTCCCTACCCAGCATGCCTAGGTAGGGAATTCTTGGAGTTGAACTCCAGAGGCCTTAAAAGTTGCCAAAGTTGGACATACTGATCTAAGCCTTCATCACAAGAAGGGTCACTCTGAAAAAGTTCCTTCACATGTGATCTTGGAGTAAACTTGCTTTTTTAATAGCATCCTTACTGTATGAAGCTTTCCAAACGTTTAGTGAATCTAATACATTCCCTCACCCAAATTAAAATGGAAGGTGCTTTGTCTAATGATGTATTTTAAGTTTGCCAGTTGGAAGGAAGGCATTTATTTATTATTGCATAACATTCTCAGAGACTTCCCATCCTGCTTACAATCTTTTTGGACTGTTGCCTTCTGGCAGAAGATACAGGACAATTAAAATTCGGACCACACGTTTTCGGAATAGTTTTTATCCCAGAGCTATAATTGCACTCAACAATGAACTAAAGAGCCACCATCAGTGAGCTGTTGGACAACATTACTTGGTCTGTTGTGTGGATGTTTGGGTGGTTTAGGGGTGGGGAATTTGTGGTGGGTGGGGTGTGTATTTGGGGATTGTTATGTGTGTTGGACCTGGACTTTGGGTGTTAAGTGAATTTCGTTGTATGGGTATACTGTGTATACACATACAATGACAATAAAATTATTATTTCCTATCTTTTGAACCACAGCATTTCTGGAAGGGACAATGGATCAGCCCAGTGGGAGAAGTTTCATGCAAGTTCTTTGTGAAAAATACAGCCCGGAAAACTTCCCTTATCGTCGTGGTCCCGGAATGGGCGTGCATGTCCCAGCTACACCTAAGGGTTCACCTATGAAAGGTACAGGTTTTGGCTGCATTTTTCTTTCAACATCCCTAGAACAGGGCTTGGATTAAAATTTATTATGTTTATTCTTTGTTCTCCCTCTTCTGTGAGAGGGATGGAAGGGAAACGGAGTTACTTTCTGGACTGCAGAGAATTTTTGGGTGCACTGACTGTGCATTCACTCCTTCCTCCCTGACCCCCACCCTCAATTCTGATTTTGAATTCCTGTGAGGTTGATTTCTATCACAGACATTCCCAAAGAAAAAATACAAACCAGGTTATTTGGGTGGAATTGAGAGTAACTGAATGTGACAGAAAAGAACAAAAATAAGTTGAGTCAGTCAGGGACAAAATGTATTGTATGTCACTCAGAGTTAACCTTTCCAGAGACACCTTAAGAAAAAAAAAGCTTTCCTGGTTATTCTTCTGATTTCTTCATTCATGTACTTCAAAAAGATGGCAAAGTTATCTTGGCCCTGAGACAAGGTTATGTTTATTATTAAAATGCTTCTATCCAGCAAAATATCACAGTGTATGCCGCAGCATACTGCTCCCTTGTTCAGTGTCCATACCCTCATCACCCTTTTCTTATTAGCAACTTCCCTAATGAAAAAAGCAAAATTAAAGTTTCCCCTTATGACAGTAATCACTGCAATTGTCCCAGGAAAGCATCTTTTATATGAAGAAAAAAGATCACTCTAGATGCTTGCATCTTTCATATGTTCTCCAAAGTTACTATTATTTTGTGAGATTTCTTTTCCAGAGTAATTTGGTTGCATCGATTTCTGAAACAATACTGCTTCTATTGAAAATATTATTAGGGTAGATGATAAGAAACTGTGAATCTTGAGATTAGGGAAAGAAAATGTGAATAAACGATGGAGAGAAGAAGGTGACAAATGTGCAAAATAATGTAAATGAAGAAAATTAAAAATAAAGGGACGATAAAGATAATGATAATAAAGGATGGGAAAAATTGGGAATGTATATAGTAGAAAGTAAGAGGAACAAAACTGATATGTAAAAAGAAACACATATCATGTGTTTGTGTTTTGTATGTTGTGTTGTGGTAAAACCAATAAAAAAAACCCTGTGAAAATGGTTCAAAAGATATTAGTTGGGGTTCATCAAGTGCAAATGTGGAATCTAGAGAAGGATGTATAGGAGACATGTATCGTGTTTTACCTTTTGACATAGTCATCCTAAACCAGGGGTGTCAAACTCGATTTCATTGAGGGTCGCATCGAGGGGCCAGTTCAACGTCACTTGTGTCGGGGGAGCCTGTGGTGGCCCAAGTGCTCTGCCAGCGAAAACAGGCTCTCGAGCTCCATTTTCTGCTGCAACAGCCTCTTGCAACCTTCTGCCAGTGAAAACAGAGCTTGTGGGGTTGCATGCGGCCTTCCCGAGCTCTGTTTTCACAGGCAGAAGCACAGCGGGCTGCTCCTTCACTGTTTCCAGGGCGGCCCTGCAGGCCAGATCTAAGCACCCCATGGGTCGGATCCAGGTCCCCGGGCCTTGAGTTTGACACCCCTGTCCTAAACCAAATAATGACATTAATTAGCCCTTAGGACATTCTAATTTACAGTTTCATGCATTTAAGAGTCACTTTTCACTTTCATCCAGCAAAGAGCACCATGGATTGCATAATAATAAAATAGTATCTTTTAAAAACAGCCACATCAGGTACAGTTCATCAGACATGGAATCTCATTTTTATACTGCATTTTTTTAAAAAAATGTATTCTGGATCAGGTTTGCTTGGATGTACAGGTGATAATATTGCTCTGCAAAAATGAGAGGCTCCTTATAAGGGCTTCCTGTCCGTTCTGCTTTTTCAGACCGCCTCAACCTGCCAAGCGTGCTGGTGTTGAACAGCTGTGGGATCACCTGTGCAGGAGACGAGAGAGAGATAGCTGCCTTCTGTGCTCACGTATCTGAACTGGATCTTTCTGACAACAAATTAGAAGACTGGCACGAGGTAAGGCACCTTTTGCAAACTTCATTCTGAGTAGTAACAAGAACAGCTGTCTTTGACTGCAGGTAGAGATGTCTGTTCCGGATGGATTCACATATGCATCTGGAATTATTCAAGCAAATGTCCTTGCCCAGAGTAATCCAAGTACTTGATTAGTTTAGTACTTTCTCCTTCCATTTCAATGGGATGCAGTGGCTAAGACACTGAGCTTGTCGATCAAAAGGTCGGCAGTTCAGCGGTTCAAATCCCTAGTGCTGCGTAACGGGGTGAGCGCCCGTTACTTGTCCCAGCTTCTGCCAACCTAGAAGTTCAAAAGCACGTAAAAAATGCAAGTAGAAAAATAGGGACCACCTTTGGTGGGAAGGTAACAGCGTTCTGTGTGCCTTTGGCGTTGAGTCATGCCGTCCACAATGACCACGGAGACGTCTTCGGACAGAGCTGGCTCTTCGGTTTTGAAACGGAGATGAGCACTTCCCCCTAGAGTCGGGAACGACTAGCACATATGTGCGAGGGGAACCTTTACCTTCCATTTCTTCTCCCAAACCTCAAGCTTTCTCAAGCAGGCCACCTCTTCTTTCTTGCTCATCTCTCCTCTGAAGATTCTCTTCGGAGCTCCCATCATCAGCTTGTTGCCTTTAGCCACAGCTTTTACAGTTTCATAATCTCAGCTACCACCCAAGAGTGGGAGGGAAGAAGATGTTCTCTGTTTCTCTGCCATTTTTCTTTCTTTGGGGCCTGTTAATGCTTGCGTTACAATGAGGTTTGGACCGGACCAGGGGAGATGCAGTTTGAAGCACATAAAATCTTGCTGGATGACCCTGGATCTACTCTCTCAGCCCAGCCGACCTTACCCATGGCTTCTTGGGGAGGACAAAATGAAATGAGATCCCCCTGTAACTCATTGGAGGGAAGGCAGAATGTGATTTTAAAAATGGAAAGTTCTAATTGTTAATGAAACTCCTTGAGTCGTCTTAATTTTTACAGCAGGCGGTAAAATGGGTTATAGGATCAGGAAGAGCTGTACAGTAAGGCTTTTGCAGCTAAGAATTCGAACAGATCTCACTGACTCTCATTATTGTTATCCTTCTTTTAGCCCATGTGTCTTCAAAATAAATGAATTCGGGTTTGGCCTAAATGTTGCAATAATTGTTCTAAACGCTCTCCAGCAGTTTGCATATGTGTTTTCCTCCCATGTTACCTTGCGGCAAAGCTTTGGATTATAATAAGCCAAAACAGGAAAGGTGGTTTTATTGCCTTTTGGCCATCAGTTTTTCATACTCAAATGTTAAAAAGAATTAGAAAGTTGTTTGCAGAGAGGGAAGGTGGGGGGGAGAACCCAAACATTAATCAATTGCAGGAATCAAAATTCTTTACTAAAATGGTATTTGGCGCATACAAGACCGCAGAAAAGATGCGTAGCCCTGGATAAAATAGTCCTTTGAAAAATGTTGGCACTTGTAAGTTATTTCTTTTCTATAGTTGCTGTTCTTTTCTTTAGAAGCCTGCCAGGTATCTGTTTTTTCCCCCTTATCAAGTCTTTCTAAGAGTGTAATTAACTGAACCATTGAGGGGAACAAGCAATTAACCAATCAATCGAAATCATCAAATGGCCACGGTATGAGTTACAGATAACTATCTTGAATGCTGTTAGAATCCTTATCATTCTTCAACTCAGTGAAGTGGACTAGAAAGGTTGCTGGGAGGTTTTAATATTAATTGAGATCTGATTACAGGTTTGTTTTGTTTGTTTTTTCCCTTCTTCCCTTCTCTCCCAGGTCAGTAAAATTGTGTCCAATGTCCCTCACTTGGCGTTTCTGAACCTGAGTTCCAATCCTCTGAATTTGTCAGTTTTAGAAAGGAAATGTGCTGGATCTTTCTCTGGTGTTCGCAAACTTGTGCTCAACAACAGCAAAGCTTCCTGGGAAACAGTCCACACTATACTGCAAGAATTGCCTGAGTAAGCCTAAAGGAAGTAGGGTTTTGGGGTTAGTTAACTGACAAGATCTATTAAGGAAGGTGAAGGACTACAACAGTTAAACTCAAAACACAAATTCCAAAAAATAAACTGGAATTTATTTTTTTCCTAGTAGTGGACAGGGCCCTCAAAGGCATGTTATCTGTTTGACTTTTTGAATCTTATCAAATGGCTACCTTTTGCACCAGCTGACAGATTCAAATTCTCTCCAAAGGAAAGCCATCCAAGAACTGTAGATTTGAGAACTGAACCTAGAGTTCATTACAAAATCTGTAGTTTAGATTTCCCTGTCTGTATTCTGGTTGACCCAATTTGGTCTCTTGTCTTGTTTGGTTTCCATGCATGTCAGTCTTGCTATTTTTAATTTTACACTAGTGGCTATATTCCCATCAATTTGTTACTCTACAAATTAATGGAGGAGTTTAAGGCACTCCACAAAAGGTAGTGGAAAGTTTTATTAGCCCATTTGGCTACCACAAATTGTTACTTTATCCTAAAGGAAGGAAGGCGAAGGAGCTTTCCTGCCTGATTTCCTGAACATGATTTTAACAAAAAGCCGTGATTTTCAAATCTGTTAGACAATTATTATGGCAGCTTCTTGTCATATTGTAATTGTATTTACATGTTACTGAATGGTGTTCCAAGAGGTTCATTCTCCCTTATTTAGTTATACTCCCTTATAGTATGAGATGCTGATTTAAGATTATAGCTTCAGTGTGTGTGTGTATGTTTATGTGTATAAACTGAAAGCTTTGGTATATCTTAAACTCCTGGCAGTGCAGTAGATCAGGCAAAAAAACCTGGGTTCTGAAATATACCCCTTTTCTATTTGCATAGCTCTTTTTTTTTTTTAATTTGATTTATATGCCGCCCTTTTTCGGAGACTCAGGGCGGCTTACAGTGCGTTAAGCAATAGCCTTCATACTTTTGTATATTTATACAAAGTCAGCTTATTGCCCCCACAAACTGGGTCCTCAATTTACCTATCTTAGAAAGGATGGAAGGCTGAGTCAACCTTGAGCCTGGTAAGATTCGAACTTACAGTAATTGCAGACAGCTGGTGTTTATCACAATGCTATCAGTCTGCTGAGCCACCAGGCCCCATCGAGAAGCATTCAATAGCATATCCATAGGCAGAGTGCATCACAAAGCTACTTGTGGTTTGTGCAGATCTATCTACTTTCAAAGTTTTTAGACCACATTTGGACAATGTTTCCAAACTACTGCTAAGCTGCTTGGGGCATTTATCGGTAAATTTATCAAATTAACAGATATACCGCCAGTAGGGCAGTCCATGTTCTGCCTTTCTGCTCTTCGGTTATCAGATCAAATAGCTCCTCTAATGGACATGCTGGCTTTTGATTGAGACTAAATGGGGATGTAGAGAGAGTGCAGGACAACTTCCAGTTAAACGTTCCCTTACATATTTTATGAGGCCTGGCAGAGGCTCCCTTCAGCTTGGCCAACTCTGTTTTCCTTCATGTGGGACCAAAGCTTATTGAATCCAAGCTTCTGCTCTCACAGTAACTAACCAAATGCAGATTCCTTCAGAAATCCAGAGATGGGATTACAAGGGCAACAGATTTTTTTCCCCCAGCAATTTTTCCCTAGGAGGAAATATCTGGGAATGCTTTTTCTGCTGCTGCAAGTAATAGTGATATAAGCCCATCTTTTAAAGCTCATCAATGTGTCTTTTCCTTAAAACCAACATTAACTGGATTGCATAGAGATGTTGCTGCATATTTTAATTGGAATTTTCTCCCTGCAGCTTGGAGGAACTTTTCCTGTGCCTTAACGACTATAATACAGTGTCTTGTTCTCCAGCTTGTTGTAATTCCCTCAAATTGCTCCACATAACTGACAATAATCTCAAAGACTGGACTGAGATCCGGAAGCTGGGGATCATGTTTCCATCACTAGATACTTTGGTTCTGGCCAATAACAGTCTGTCAACCATTGAAGACTCCGATGATTCCCTGGCAAGGCTGTTCCCGAACTTGCGATCCATCAGTCTGCACAAGTCAGGTGAGATCTTGGATGAAATGTAATGGAAGGATATACAAGGCCCGTTGGATCGGAACAAAGGCCCATCTTATCCAGGCTACATTTTTTTTTATTTATTTATTTGTCAAGCATATATAAGATAACAGGTAAAAGTATAAACATAATTTGAATACATGAAAACAGTAAGTAAAAAGGAATATTAGGATAGGGACGGTAGGCACGCTGGTGCACTTATGCACTTATGGGGAAGAAACTACAGAGTCAGGTAGTGCATTCCAGGCATTGACCACTCTGTTACTGAAGTCATATTTTCTGCAATCGAGTTTGGAACGGTTTACATCTATTATTTGCTTGTGTGTTGTTGTGGTTGAAGCTGAAGTAGTCATTGACAGGAAGGACATTGTGACAGATAATTTTATGTACTACACTTAGGTCAGACCGAAGTCGGCGTAGTTCTAAGTTGTCTAAGCCCAAAATTTGGAGTCTGGTGGCATATGGAGGACTCTTCTCGTAAAATATCTCTGAACACTCTCAATTGTATTTCTTCTTTCTTTCTTTTCTTTCTTTTCTTTTTCTTTTTTTTTCTTTCTTTCTTTCTTTTCTTTTCTTTTCTTTTTTAAATTTCTATACCGCCCTTCTCCAAATAGGACTCAGGGCGGTGCACAGCCTAAGTAAAAACAAAGCATACAAAATTTATGTCCGATACGCAGTGCGGGTTCCAGACAGATGAGCTGTATTCAAGAATTAGTCTAGCAAATGTTTTGTATGCTGTAGTTAGTAGTACAACATAGAGAAGAAGTTACGCAAGATTAGGTTAACAACTCTTAATGCCTTTTTGGCAATGTTGTTACAGTGGCATTAATATCTAGTGAGGCTTTAAAATCTTTCGCATAAGTTCCCTCATCTGTGTGTGTGCATGCAGTGAATGAGCACCTAATGCCAAGCCAAGGAGTTGGCCCTCTTGAAGATTTACACTTCTTTTTGTGCTAAATTAAATCTCATCACCCTTTATTTGCGCAGGCAAATATTTTTGATCATTTACACTTTCTTAAAGCATGTTACTCTACTGTGTTTAATCAAATTAACGATTGATAACAGTAGCTATGTCAACTGGCTCTCGATGGTTTATGGTCATAGACTTGGAGATGAGAAAGAACATTGGCCAGGTATAACCTTTTAACAAAATGAGGTGGGCCATCTTCAGCATCTGAAGCTCCACACTCCATCGCTCAAGAATGCAGTGCTCTCTAGAAAGAAAAGTATCATGATTCCTTAAGAATAACTCCATCCAATTGCTTCCATTTGTTTGAATTGCGATTCCATTGGATGATAATAACAGGCTTTTTACTGATCTTTTTAACATACTACATTCGTACCGCTGGGAATACAAGAGTATACCATAAGCCAAAGCCTTAACTTCCCAGGAAATCTAATCCAGTTAGCTGTGTTTTTACCAAAATATATCCGTTTCTTTCAATAATTAATCACCAGCTTCATTGGAGCAGCAAAGGTGGAAATGAAATGTTATTTTCAGAGGGGGAAAGTAATTGAGCAACTCCCCAGAATAGTCTGACTTTTCAAGGCTGACATTTTAAAAAAATAACAAAATAGAATTCATGTAAGTATAAGATCAGCTGGGAGAAATCTGTGTTCAGATTTCATTCCCTGGTAACAGTAATTTTCTACTGCATTTGAGAAATGCTTAATAGAGAAACGTTTGAAAAAGATGCGCCTGCCTTCCAGGGGTGGGCTTCAAAAATTTTAGCAAAACTTTTTCTCTGCCCTGTTGCTGGGTGGGCATGGGTGTGGCCTAGTCGGTGGTCTGCACCATGGCGGGGGAAGTGTTTTTGCCCTCCCCAGGCTCCGGAGGCTTTCCTTGAGGCTCCGGGAGGGCGAAAACAGCCTCCCCAGGCTCCGGAGGCCCTCCAAAGGCTGGAAATGGGCCCGTTACTGGCCTTCCTGAACTTCCAGTAGGCCTGTTTTCCGCCCTCCCCGAGCTTCCGTGCGCGGCCGCACTTACCTGCATACAAAACAGGCCGCATGGAGACTCCTGGGAGGGACGGGGTGGGCGGGGCCAGCCAGGAGTGGGATTTGGGGGTTCTCCAAACTGCAGAGAATCTTAGCAAGAGGTTCTCCTGAACCCACCCCTGCTACCTTCAACCTGAGCCATTTGTTTTTCTGTTCTGTTCCTCATCTAGTTGCGGCTGGCAAATAATTTTCACACAAGCCCAGCTTTTCGACCTAGAATACCGTAGGCCTCTTCACTTGTCTGTTTTCCTTGCCTGAGCTTTTCCTTTTCTTTAAAGCAGGTCTGCATTCCTGGGAAGATGTTGACAAACTGAATTCTTTCCCCAAGCTTGAGGAAGTGAGGTTGCTGGGAATCCCTCTCCTTCAGTCGTACACCAATGAGGAGCGGAGGAAGCTGGTAATAGCCAGGTCTGGAGATTTTGTAGTAGATCCAGCCTTAATATGATTAAAAATTGTGTGTGACTTAAGTCTAAGACGCTCAGTCTCAAAGAGGGCATTGGAATTGGCTCCTGTAACTTCACAGTTTTGTGAGTGAATCAAAAAATAAGGGGGCGGGAGGGGGAACCTACATTGTGAATTAAAATTGTTCCATGAAGTGGCAGTGGACTTGCAAACCACCTTAAGTAGCCCTGTTTTAAAGGACTACAATAATAACCTTGGGGGAAAAAATCATAAATCTCTTGTATTTGGAGACTGTTGAGTCTTTGTGCCCATTTTTTGCTTGATTCCCAATTGGTATTTTTAATGTTTGCTATACTGCAGACTTATTTATTTATTTAAAACCATTATCTACTGTTTCCTATTTTTTTTAAAAAAATTCAGCGGTTTAGACTAAAATTGATCCCTTCCATCTTCATGTCCAGCCTGGGGCATCGGGGAGAATCAAGGCAAGGCCCTAGATGAGTCATTTAACTTGCACTTCAGTGTCTCATTTTACAGCTTTGCAGGCAGGGAGATGGCTCATCGTGGCTAAGGATAGGAACTGAGAGAGGCCTTTGTCAATCAATGGTAAAGGGAGAGGACCCTATCGATGGGCCCACCTCACAGTCTCCCCCTCTGGTGTACGTTTTGTATTTTGCAATGAGAATACGTCCATTGCATATATGCCGGTCACTGAAATCTCAAAAGCCACTGATGACAGATGTTAAATTAACTGTTGAAAAGTTTAGAGACAGTTGTTTGAACTGTGCTCTGATGGGTACTAGTTGTGCCGATTTAAAAGAGAAAATTTTTGATCCCATATTCTGCAGTTCCACATTCATTGTTTTCTTCAGTGTTTAAAATGCCTAAGGTGTGTGCACCTGAACTTGGATTTTGGTCATATATATATAGATATATATGACTCTTTTTGTCTCTTTCTCTCTTTCTTTCTCTCTTTCTCTTTCTCTTTGTCTTTATCTCTTTTTTCTATCTCTCTCTTTCTCTCTTTTTGTCTTTCTCTTTTTCTTTCTTTCTCTCACACTTTCTCTCTTTCTCTTTTTGTCTTTCTCTTTTTTGTCTTTCTCTCTTTTCTCTCTTTCTCTCCCTCCCCCCCCTCTCTCTCTCTCACTCACACACACACACACGCACACCCTAATACTGCAGAATGGAGAAGCAGTAAATAGCAAATCTCTACAGCCTTTTCTTAAGTTACCAACATTTTATAACATGCCTTGGAAAGTCGACAAGAAGGAAGGTATTTAGGAAATTGTCAGTTATATGTATAATCAAGTCGTAATGCACAATTTTAAATCAATTCCTCTCTGAATGGAGCCCTATAAAAATGCAATTTCCCTGACAGCTATATTTTTGTGTGTCAGGTTCTGCAGGAATCTCATGAGAAGACAATATTTGCTGCTGACTATTTGGGGAATTTTTTTTTCTCCCTCTCTCCCCCCACCCCCTTTGCTCAGCTGTTCACATTTTCTCTTCTTGTCTTTGGCAGGCTACCATCCATCACCAAGCTGAACGGAAGTGTCATAATGGAAGGAGAACGAGAAGACTCTGAGAGGTTTTTCATCCGCTATTACATTGACTTTCCACAGGAAGAAGCTCCTTTCAGGTGAGGGATTACCCAGAAGTTTGCGGAACGAATGAAAAAACTTCGGCTGTTCACCTTGGTTTTGAAGACACAAAATATAAATTGAGTTGTGTCCCCAGTTGAGAATTGTGCGCGAAGTCACTCACCTGATAAACTTAGGCAAGCTGCAGAGCCTCGCTGTACCTCATTTATCTTCACTATGGCGTCTCATATATATTACCGACTTATCTGGCAAGGCGCTGCAGCGCAAATGAGTAAATTACCATTTGAACAGCTACAGATATCGGTAAGCACTTCTGAGGAAAGACAGTAAATAACAGGCGACGGCTGAATGCTTTATTACCGATATTTGTAGCACATTGTTAATGAATAATTAAGTACAGTGAAGCTTTGCCTTGTCGGGAAGGTTGCAATCTGGAGCAGATATTGGGGGAAGCAAAGGGTAGAAAGAGAAAACGGACTAGAATGATACGACGCACAGGTAGGGCTTAGTTAACTCTCAGAAGGGGCAGCTAAAGCCAGTGGTGAAAGAGTCATCACAACGGAAGTCTTGGCACACATGGACACATTGATTGCATTTTCAGCTTTTTGACCCTCACTTGCCCTTCCTAAACCAGATATTGAGACAAGACAGATATTCAGGCAATCCTAGAAAAAGAAAAGGATATTTTTAAAAATTGATGCAGAGGAATCTTAAAACATGTGTGGTATCTTGAACACTTGACACCATTGAGTTTCCCATGATTTTTGGTTTGGTTTTGCCTCAGTGGGTTTTTTTTTTTCTTTTTCTTTTTCTTTCTTTCTTTTCTTTCTTTCTTTCTTTCTTTTTTTTTTTTGCTATCAGTTCCCGGCAGGTTAATGCAAACAGCAAAATTGCCTTTTGTCTCCCCTATTTCCTCCCCCGCCCCCAGTTCATAGCCTTTGAATAAACCTGGGCTTCCCTCCCCCAGCCTGATTGTTCAATGGCTCCTTTGTCCAGATGCCCTCATCTGTGTGGGGTCTTGAAGAGACCTGCGCCCTCAACGAGACTTGGCTTTCCAGTCCACCAAACCAGCGTGCCATTTCAGGGCCCTTTGGGGGCCGTGAATAGCCGAGACGGCGTCCCCAGAGAATCGAGCTTCAGGTTCCACATCCTGCATCTTTAAAAGTTCATGCCTGAAGTTCATTCTCGTGACTTTTCCCTGCCCCCAATAACTCCGTTTCTTTCCCCTTTTCCTTCTCCTGGCTTGATTACAACCCTCTTTCCTTTTGCCCTTTAGGTTCTTTCTCTTTCCTCAATCCTTCCGAGATTGATATGTAATTTTTTTTAGGACCACATCCTCAAAACAATTATCCTTTGACAATCATGATATTAATAATAACATCATAATTGTCCAAAAAGGAGTTATTCACCCATCCACCCCCTTATTTTTGCAAACTGATGAGCTGCCATCCTGGTATCCAAAGTATTAATTCACCAGATCTTTACAGCTTGTTTAAAACGTCCACACAGATTTCATTTGCGATAGAATTGCCTAAGAGAGAGGTTACAAATGAAAAGATCTTTTGTGTCGTTTCGGACTGCTTAGGTACTCTTGTTAGATCCGGAGACAAAAAGATGCACTTCGCAGACACAACTAGAGTAAAGATGAGCTTAAAAGTCCTACAGTTTGGGAGCTTGAATACAGTCATAGTTAAAATACTGAGCCAAGGGACCACAAAATTTATACAGCAGCCTCGGACCAATTACTCATTTCAACCCAACATTGTTTAACAGAATTGTGCCTTTGGGGGTGAAATGAGTGGCCTTGTGCATACCAGCTTGTGTTTCCAGGAAGAAGGCGGGATATGGATTTGATAAATGGGAACTTCCTCACTTTGGAATACAAGCTAGCTTTTAAAGAACAGGTTCCAGCAGTTTTCAACCCACTTGAGGCAAACAGTTTTGCTGTCCCCAATAATTCCGCATTGTTCTTATTTTTGTTTCATCAAAAGAGATCAGATAACCGTTTGTCTGGAATGGAAATGGGTCTCCTGCTTTTGAGCAGGGGATTGAACTAAGAAGACCTCCAAAATCCCTTCCGACTCTTGTTATCTGTTACCATCTGGTGAGAAATTTTGGCCTTAGGTGGGAGTGGGAGAGAAAAGAGTTGCGGAATCTCCCAACACCTTTGGATCCCCTTTTGTTTCGATGACAATGGCATGTCTACCTCTCTGGAAGCAAGAGACTGCGGTCGCCTCAGTGGGAAAACAAGCCCTTTTCAGAGCTCTGCGGAACAAGCCGTGGATCCCATTAGACAAGAAGTGACGGAATGAATGGAGGTGTTGAAACTCGCCCTGAAAAGCTCACTTTCCACTGTTGATTTAACTGCTGTCAGCCATCACGGGGGGGGGGGGTTTCAGAGAACTCGTCTTCCTTATCTTCCCAAATCGTGGTTAGCCAAAACGGACCCAAGTTTTCTCTCCGTGTTAATTGCAAAGCCAAGCGCAGCAGCCCGTTCTCCAAACACCTGGGCTCTGCGAAAGCTGGTTTTTGTCCCAAGACGCTCGGCGAAACTGAGGGAGCACTTCATCAACCGCCGCCCCCCCCCCTCCTATTGCAGACAGACAGAGGCTCTGCTGTTGGTGGAATATCCTTACCTTTAACACGAGTCCCCTGAGGGGAGTGTGGGGGGGAGCTCCCTACCTGGTTGCCAGGCCCCATCATCCCCTGACAGGAGCAGTGACACAGCAGCGATCACAGTTTTCGGCCTGAGCCAAGAAGGAAACAAAAGGGGCTTTCAGTCTAAGGGCATCCCTTAGAGACTCTGAAATGTTATCTGCCCCCCCCCCAAATCTTAACCACTCTTTGTTTTTTTATCTTTTCAGCTACCTTGGACTTTGGGTTGACTTTTTGCCACTTTCCCAGCCCAGCAGAAGAGATGCTCCTTCCTCATTATTAATGAGAGATATCTGAAAAATGCCGTGGGGGGGGGGATGGCAGAGACAAGGAGCAAAGACAGAAATCTCTAACCAGGAGAGGGGTGTTTATCTCTGGGAGGGAGAAGAAACTTGTGGAACGGGTTCGTGGCCATCCAGACAGTGCTGCCCCACTTTATTTTTTTTTCCCCCTCCCATTCAGCCTCGTCCTCCATTTGCAAATGCCAAAAGGGACGGAATTCAGACCTACAGAAATGCAGAAGCTGAACCAAAGTTATGCAATTAATAGCTGTAAAAATTTCAGCTTGACTTCGTTCCCACAAGCTACGACAGCGGAGATTCACTCTGCCAATGAATGAATACTACCAAGAGAGCAGAAGAAAAATTGGGGGAGAGGAGGGGTGGCATGTCATGGGTGTTTTTTTCCCCCTTAGCCCCCTGAGGATGTGGAACATTGATCTCTGCAGCATTCAGCAGGATGGATTGGCAGGGCCATGTTGAAAGCACTCTATCTGCGGAAGTTTATCACAGGGCTACCAGTATACAGGTAGTCCTCGACTTAACAACAGTTCATTTAGTGACCGTTCAGAGTTACAGCAGCACTGAAAAAAGGGACGACCATTTTTCACACGTACGACCATTGCCGCTTCCCCGTGATTTTCATTCGGATGATTGTCAGCTGACTCACATTTATGACAGTGGCAGTGTCTCGGAGTCATGTGTGATCTCTTGTGACCTGACGAGCAAAGTCAATGGGGGAAAAGCCAGATTCACTTAACAACCGGGTTACTAATTTTAAGAACTGCAGTGATTCGCTTAGCAAATGAGGCGAGACAAGTCGTAAAACAGAGCAAGCTCACTTAACAAACTTCTCACTTAACAACCTAAACTTTGGCCTCAATTGTGGTCGTAAGTTGACGGCTGCCTGTCGTTCATGCTCATTGTGAGACTTCGGAATTGCAGCTGCCCTGCCCCTAAATGTATGTTGGTCTACACATCCGACTTTCTCTTCATTGGGGGTTGAGAATACTCGCTGATGTGAGCTGCAACCTGACACCTTTGCCAAGTTTGGGGAAATTCAGTGGTGCCATCAAACCATTAGGTGCCAGAATTAGAGATAGCACAGGCCACTGACCTTCAGTTGATTATGATGTCCAATATTGACTTCTTCAAAAACTCAAAATGGTGTGGATCCTGGTGTCAGCGCTTCGATGCTGGCATAGAGAGCAGAGGAGAGAGAGAGATAAGCTCTGAACTTTTGCCTGCTAAATCCCTTTGAAGTCGGGTTGTCGTGGAAATGAAGGGGGGAGACATTCCTGGGAAATGACGAGACAAGAAATCTGAAGAATGACTTGGAAAATAGCCAATGAGAAGCAGAGATTTGGGGATCGGAAAGGGAGGGATTGGGGGGCAAAAGGTCAGTCTTGTCCGCATCGAGTCATGATCCGGTGGCTGTGCTCAAAGAAAAGATTTCCTTAAAGATTGGCAGTTTGGAAATTCATTTATTTTGAGATAGCATCGAAGTTTGACACCTGGATCCTTAAAAATAAACCACCTCTCCATTCTTTAATCTCCAGTGAGGCCCTTTTTAGTTTATAATAGCTGACTGTTGCATTTTCTACATTGTACCTGGGTCCTGAAACTAAGTAGTGCATTTAGCCCCTTGGCTCTTAATTTTCTGGCTGCAAGAACATAGTTTGCTTTAAGGAATGTTTTAGGTCTTAGCTTGTCCAGCTCGCAAAGAACAGAATTGATCTTCCCGTTGCTAAAATGTCTTAAAAGAGTTGAGCTTCTCTGGGTTTTTTTTTTTCCAGGTATGTAAGATATTGCTAGTTGGCTTTAAAAGGTTGGCACAAAACGCCAGAAAATATATGTATATTTTAATAAAGCAACCTTTGCATGTTGTTTCTGCCCCATTTTCGTAGGTACCAGGAACTAGTGACTAAATACGGGAAGCTGGAAAAGCTGGCGGTGGTCGACCTGAGGCCTCAGAGCAAGGCCAAAGTCGAAGTCCACTTCAAAGACCAAGTGAAGGAGATGACCATCCGCTTAGATCAGACGGTGGCGGAGCTGAAGAAAGAACTGAAAACGGTGGTCCAGCTGCCCATCAGCAGCATGCTGGTCACTTACTTCGACAACGAAGATCCATTTGGCCCCGAAGAGCTGAAGTACAACTCGAGGGCCCTGCATTCCTACGGCATCCGGGATGGAGACAAGATCTACGTGGACTCCAAAGCCAAGTAGCCTCTCTTGCTTCCAGAAGGCCTGCTCCAGAGTGCGCACCCGCCTGCCCCCACGTAACGGCCATCAAGGGACTTTTCTGACGGGAGGTGTTTCATTTGGGTTCCTTTGGTTGAGATTTGGTGTTTTAGAAGTGCGCCCGATCACTTCTCTAGCCCAGGTTAAGCAGGTGTCAGATCTGTGAGATAAAAGCACCAGGATTCAGCGCTTAGATGATGACAAGACTATCGAGCGGGTGTGCTGTTTCCCTTTGGTCTCTCCCAGCTGCTTCAGTATACTTGTGAACGTAGCACCACAGGCCGGCTTCAAAACTCGGAGGTTATTAACAAGCCACTCAGCCAGGGTGAATTCAGCTTTCCGGCACGCATAAGCGTAAGGTACGTGTGAAAAAAAAAAAGATTCTGTGCAGCTCTTGTTCCCGTGGCACTTGGACTCCAATTACAAACGGCTGCACTGCTCTCCCTTCACCTGGGTTAGTCTGTCATTTCTTTCTTCCTGGGGGGGGCTTTTTTTTGGAAGGAAAGGGTTCTTCAGGATATGGGCCTGGGGGACTGTCCGGCAGCATTCTGGATTTCAGATAGCTGAAGGAGATAACACACACATAGAGACACAAACACACACACACAGCTTCCAAAGCACAGTAATAAAGACACACTACAAAACTGCATTCGTTTAGATCAGGGGTCTCCAACCTTGGCAACTTTAAGGAGACCCCTGTTTTAGTTAACCCTTCTGGTTTGCCAGTTCTCCAAGGTAGCATAGATAAACTTATTTCTGCACAGGGCACATCGGAAGTGAAATGGGTGGCATTTTGACATACAGCCAAAGCAGGGCAGCTAAGCAGAACAACGGATGGATCTGTTTGATAAAAGTCATTGCCTGATTGGCTGCTGAAGGAAATTCCTTTCATTCGACAGTTCGCTAAAAGATCACGAATCCTTGTAGTGCTGCTATACGTTCGGTTTGTTATTATTATGAATATGCCCTTCGGGTGCTCCTCTCTCATTCCCTGCATCCATAAATTCATCCTTAGAATCAACTTTTGTGGCAGGATTAGCTGAGGGATAGACACTGGTTCCTACAAACCAGAAACATTTCATAGCTAATTTTAACCCGAATTCCAAAATTCGTATCATGATAACCTGGATGGAAACCAAAATCCAATACAGTTTAAGTTCATTTTTAGTACATTTTTAAGCCAACAAGGAGCATGCAAAACCATTCCTGATCCTCCCAGGAATTTGGCCATTTTTATGCACAAGTTCTTATTCTGTTACTTGTCCCTTTATACGGTCTATAATTTGTGCAGCTCCAGTAGGATGAGCTTCTGTTCTCTAACTTCAAAGCAATTCTTCTATTTTAACTCGGGATCTGCAGTGCGCTTCTGATTCCAGCGACTGCAGTGAAGACCATATGAAATGCTTCCCACTGTTTTCCTTGTACGATTCAGCTTGGAAATGCATTAAACTTCTTTACTTTGTCAATCAGGCAGGGGCTGCCCTTCCTTCCTCGTGTCGGTTTGACAAGCTGGAAGCAGTTCAATCCATCCATTTTACACATGTACATTTAAAGGTCCGTGAAGCTGGCTGATTCTTATTACCTGTGCACTTTTGACCTGAGTTGGTAGCTTTTATGCTCCGAAAGCAAGATTTTTTTTCAGCCCCCGATTCTATGATTCCCTCTTGGGGCTTCCTTTTTATATAAATTACAGAGAGTGGGGGATTTCACCCACTCTCCTTTCTGGTATCTGTACTGTTGGAAAGCAAAAGAAAGTTCTTTTGTTTTCTCATTGGAAAGGAAGCATTTACCACTCTCCGTAGGGCATGGCTTAGATGGAATAGCATTCTGACCCCCGTCTCTTGTTAAGCCACAGTTCTCCTTCAAATTATGACTATTGGACATCGCTCCAGAATAATAATAATATTCTGGATTTTAGAACTATAGCAAGCTGAGGTTCTTTCCTCTCCGTTTACTTAGCAAAAAGGCCCTTATGGTAACCGTGTGATGCCAACCCAAATCAGCATTTTATTTATGATCGATGCGTTCGTGTGTGTGTGTTTACACATGCTGTAATGGGGAATGTTCATGTCAATAAGATATTTTATTATAAAGATTTATGGAAAGATAGAATTGTGTAATAATATACTATTATTTTATCGGTGGTCCTACTGTATCAAATACCCTTGTATGGGGTTGACAGACTGGCTGGATGCAAAGGGCCAGCCATTGAAATTGATGGAACATCCATTGGAACAGTATTTCTTAGCTTCCTCCCAACTCCAATGTTGATGCCATCGTAGTATTGTCCATGTAGTTGGTATCTTAGAAAGAAGCATTAAATAGGTCGGGAAGAGAGACAGCAAAGGAATTCCACCGAAGATTCATATTTTTATGCGTATTATTGAAAGAGAGTTAGTCATAAATCCTAAACCTACTTCCTTAACCTCATGTCTCCTGTATTGTGACTATTATAGACTTCTGGAGAGCAGTAAGTTAGGGAAAAAAGCTGTATTTAACTTATTTAAATCTGCAGGTTACATAACTTAGCCAATTCAAGAGTGTTTGCTTAAGTTGACATTCTACTAGGTATCATAGAGAAAAGGCTACAGCTAGACAGAGTCTTCGGGCCTATCCCTCGAGTTTTCTTCAACCATTCCCATTTTTGTTTTTGTTTTTTTTAAAAAATCCAAAAAACAAATGCTTTGGAAGCTGAGGTCTGCATCTAATACATTCTGTCAGCTTTCTGCAATTATAGCGAATTGGCACATAACTATGGGCCAAAACTATCAGCATTGGGAGCAGCCAAGCTACATCAAATATTTAATCTTTTAATTAGGTACATTATAGGAGGATAAAAGCAGGAAAGGGAGAGTAATGTAATGGCATTCTGCACAAATGTCCCGTTCGGCTACATTTTTGCATTGGATTCAGCTGCAAAATCTGTGAAATCATCCTGGTTTGCCAATAGCATCAAATTCACCACGTTCTCCAATGTTCTGTGTTCGACCTATAGCGCTGATTGGTTCCCTCTGTGTGCTTTTTTAAAATGCTGGGTACAAAGAAAGGAGATGGGTTTTATCAGACTCTGCCAGTTTTCAACTCTGCTTTCATCCAGTGCTAATGTCACACGAGATTGTTTCTGACCGAAAACTGAGTTTGACCATTGGCGTTTTGCTTAAAATGTTAATATTAACATTCAGTTCATGTTTGGCTAGTCATCTGATGAGAACTGTCATAAGCCAGATGTCACAGCTGTTTGCTGTTGAACATGTGAACTCCTCTTCATGCTAGAGCAGAGGTGCCCAACCTTAGCGAGTTTTAAAACTTGTGGACTTTAACTCCCAGAATTCCCCAGCCAGCCATGTTGGCTAGGGAATTCTGGGGGTTGAAGTCCATGGATCTTAAAAGTTGCTAAGGTTGGACACCCTTGTGCTAGAGGCTTCCTCCACAGATAATTAAGAAGCCAGGAGACTAAATACTGTAGAGATCATTTGTATTGCCAGACTGAATGGGCCCTAAACTCATCCATGTCCAAAAATCTGGATAAAAAGCAAAAAGATTGACTTCTTCTGGATAAAAAGAACAAGAAGATTGACTTCGTCTGAAGTTATCTTCTGAACAGCACTATCAAGTTCAACAGTTGGGCGGTGAACCCCATTTGTATAAAACTGCAGAAACTCTTGAGATTTTTGGGGTGGTGGGAGCAACGTTCTGGTCACTGGAAGGAGTTTATATTTCCCCCAAAGACCCCTATTTACGAAAGGTGCCCCTTTTTAAAGATAAGTGGGGTGATGTCAGAAAGTCCTCCTTTCCATAGTCAGGTTAATCTGTAGATTTCATTGCATTAGAAAAATAGTGTAATTATCTGCCATTTTTAATGGTCTTGTACTGAAAACAAAACCTGGGGAACTGGGAAGTATTAGCTTTGGAACTCAGGGGGCTGTTATCGCTGGGTAGCAAGCCATAGCAAGTGATTCCCGGCTCATATCTGGGCCTGGCAGTTGCGTGTAGTATTGAGCAAAAAAAGGAAGGACCTTGGTTGGCATTACTGCGAGGTGAGTAAGTTCCGTGCATGTTAAACCTCAATTTAGCCTTCACATTATGCAAAATATGAAATTCATAGCTAATTCTGCTTCCGTGATTAAGTTGAACGAGAAACTTGTGATTTCCCCTCCCACCTTTCCGACATGGAATGGTGGGGTGAAGAATGGGCAGGGGAGTGTGATCTGGGGAGACCCCAGCACGATTGGAGATTTGGAGAAGTTAGAGCATGATTGGAGAAATGAAAAGAACAACCAAGCAAAATGACATAGGCCTAGACCAGTGATGGATAACCCTTTTGCTGTGGTGTGCCAAAAGCGTGGGGAGCGGGGGGGGGGGGTGCGTGCCCACACCCATTATTCAATGTTCCCCGCCCCCAATGCGGACGCAACACACATACACCCCAAACTCTCCCCGCTTTTGGTACACGGTGGGACCGGAAGGCCCATTTTTCACCCTCCCCAGGCTCCAGAGGCTTTCTAGGAGCCTGAGGAGGGCGAAAACGGCCTTCCCCACCCCTCCGGAGGCCGGAAACAGCCTGTTTCCTGACTTCCTGTGGGCCCGGAAGGCCCAAAAATCAGATGGCTGGCACGTACATGCGCGCTGGAGCTCAGCTAGGGCAACACTCACGTGCCCACCGATATGGCTCCATGTTCCACCGGTTCGCCATCACAGGCCTAGACTCTGAAATCTCTCCCCTTGCTTTGGCTTTCGAACTTTCTGTCGGGAGTCCCAGAGAGAGCCGTGTATATATATATAGATCCATTGAAGTTAAAGGCATTTGCAATAGACCCGTAGCGTATTTACTCATTAGCAATCTCCAGCTTCTCAGACTATAGCGCAGCTGTCCGTTTCAGTGATTTTGGTTCTGAAAAGATTACATGGATTGCATCCCCATTTTCATATTCTGAGCCTTTTTTCCCCCTCCCACTACATCTTTGAGTTGAAACTGGTTATCAAAGCAGGCGGTCTTCGCTCTGCTGAATTCCATAAACCAGTGTTTCTCAACCATTGCCCGCTTTAAAGACCTGTGGACTTCAACTCCCAGAATTCCCCAGCCGGCTGTGCTTGAGGTTGTGGAGAGCCAGTGAGCCTGGATCCGATTAAGCGGCTGTTTCCTAAGGAGCCCTAATTTGTACTAATGTCTAGGTAGAGCGTATTTTCTAGAGGGAGCTGCAGCTACTCTCCAGAACACAGAGGAGCACCTGGCTGCACCCTGTTCGCTACCCTAGTTGTAAAGATTTGGGAGTAGACACGTCGGCTGCAACTTGGAAAAAAGTGTCATTGAATTCTAGAGCTGGCTTTTGGTAGAAAACTGCGGGGTTACACCAATGGAGCAATTGAATGTAAGTAATAGTGTGACATCTATGTAGGATTACCATCAGGGAGTATCTGCTTCTGAAAAACCTACTCCCGTTTTACTCTCCTGCTGGCACAGAGCAAACCGTGAGGAAGAGGAGGCCCACGTTCACCGCTTAGGTCACTTCCAAATCTAACATCTGGCCAGGATCCTTGGCTTTAGTTATTTGAAAGGGCAATACAGCTAGTAAGGCACAACAACATGCAGCAATCCCTTACTCGAGATACACAGGGCCTGAAGATTTTTCTGGATCTATTTATCTGGAAACCTACCTGACAGGATGGTTAAAATAAAAAAAAATCCACTACAGTTTCCCTTTTGTTTGTACTCCGATTCATGTACTTTTGTGGAAGAAAGATAATATCCCTTTTCCAAGAACCAAGCATTGTATTTCAGTGTTTCAAGAACTTGCTCCAAATATAAGGCAGTCAATTGAATGATATCAATAAACTTTTAAGTTTTGTAAAAAAAAAAATTAAAAAAGTGTGAAACTGCTTTATTTACATATTTCATTTCTAAGCCATACGTTCCGATGCACAT